CAGCGAAGGGAAGGTGCCACCGGGAAAGCGGAGCCAGCCCAGCCTGGCCCCCTGCACCCACCTTCCCCGCAGCCAGCTACCTGGAGTGCACTGAGCTGTGGCAAACCTGCCCGCCCCTCCCAGAGATCATGCCCAAAGCTGGCTCCAAGGGGCAGGGGAAGCGGAAGGCACCATGTGCTCACCCCTTGCAGACAGCCGTGTGCCCCCCCACCCCACCTCAGCCCAGCCCCTTTGCCCCTTCCCCGTCCTCCCTGCCAGCCCCCTGGCGCCCTGCTCCGGGCCCGATCCTCAGCAGGGCTCTCCAGGCCTGGCTGCAACACGCACACACCAATCATGTCGGCATCGCCGTGCGGGGCCTGTGCAGCGGGCTGGAACCTGAGTCACGGCACGGGCGAGGGCACCGTGGTGGGTGGGGGGCTCTGCACCCCTCCCCACTTGTCCCCCCCATGGTCACGCCAGCCGGTGACAACAGGTAATACAGGACCCCGGCGCCCGCAGCTAGAAGGGAGGATGCCGCCGTGCCCCCCGGCACAGCCAGCGTCTCCAGCCCCCGCGTCAAGCAGTCACCTTCCCAGACAAGGCAGGGTTGGGCCTGCAGGTGCAAGCCAGGTCCGGCGGAGCAGCGTCGCCAGCCCTGGGCATCCTTGCTTGGGGGGTGACGCCGGCTGGGGTGGGGGGAGGCAGGATGCTATGCTGGAGAGGGCATGGATGGATGCACGGCCCCGGCGCCCGGCACACGCGTGGGGCTGGGGCAGGAGGGTTGCGGGTTGGAAAAAGGATCTGGTACTTACTCCATTTTCCCAGCCTCCTCAGCCCCCTTGCTGGCTCACGCTCCGGCTCGCAAGGATCCAGGCGAAGCGACTGGGTGGGGGGGGGGAAGGAAGCCGGGGGCTAGCAGCCCCCACCCAGCCGGTGCCCCCTGCTCTCGCGGTCTGGGCTCACGGGCAGAGCAGCCGTGGCGGGTGTCTCCGCATCCCCGGCTGGGTTATTGTCCGGCGTGCGGCTGGCTCGGGATTGCTGAGCTGGGGATGGGAAGGGAGCTTTATTTTTTTCCTCCTCTTCCCAGTCTCCAGCATCCTAACAGCACCGTCTGCTGGGCATTGCCTGCCACTGCCACCCAGCCCACAGGCCCCCCAAAGCAGCCTCCGGAGAGGCTTGTCCAGGCCCTGGACCTGCATCTCTTCGCAGGCTTTCCTACGGACCTGGCGCCTTGCCCCCTTGCACCCAGGCAGGGCCGGCAGGTCTAATAGGATCCATGCTCCGAGTTGGCACACCTCCACTTCCCTGCCTGCAGCCCGGCCTGGACTGAGCCTCCTCTCCTAGCCCTGGCGAGCATGGGGCTGCACCACAGCGATCCACGGGGATGGCCTCATTTTTCAGCGTCTTGGCAGGGCTCCTGGGTCGAGCGCGGAGCTCCCAGGACCACAAACAGCCTCGCGCTGGGGTGCGATAGAGCAGCATTCGTACGGGACGGTTTGGAGAGGGGCGATCCTGCTTCCAGAAGGGAGCTGGACTAGGTGCGACCTCTGCAAGTCCCTAGAAATCTCTCCAATTTCTATGAGCTTGCAACCTGCAGTGGCGCACGGGGAATGCAGCTGCCTCTGGGGTGGGGGGAGAAAGGGCACGGACCCGGCGAGCTGTGCTACGGAAGCACGATGCCCCAAATGCAGCCGGACCTGGGGGGAGAGAAAGAGCAGGGCCCCCAGCGAGTGGTGTCATGGCTGCGCCGTGCCCTAAATGCAGCTGCTTCTGGGGTGGAGAAAGGAGAGGGAAGCCCAGAGGCTGCACGTGTTTGTGTCCCACATGGACGTATGGCTGTTGGTGAGGAAGGCTGCCCTGGCAGATGGGAGAAGGTGGGTGGGCACATGGGCAGACCCCCCCACCATCCATCTCACCAGGCAGAAAGCCTTGGAGGGGCAACAACCCTGACTGATCGACTCAGTGAGTAACACACTCAGGCTGCTCCGTGCCTCAGTTTCCCTGAAGAGGGAAGCTCCCAGGCACCTGGATCCCAGCTGGGTCTTTAGGTGCCAATAATGCCCAAGAATCCATGTCAGAGCCGGAGAAACCAAGCTACGAGAGCCCATAACAGCCCAGGACTCCCCCCACCAACCTGCAAGGGTGCAGGAAGCATCTGGCCTAGTGGCTAGAGCAGCCAGGACTCCTGGGGTCTCTCCCTGGCCCTGCTGGAGGTACAACCCTGCCCCCTCTCTCTGCCTCAGTTTCCCTCGGCTCTGATCTCTGTGCCCTAAGGCTTGCAACCCCGCATGGGAGGTTGCCCACTTAACCCCTTCCCCACCAAGGCCTCTCTTAGCAGGGCTGGGTATCCCCACCTGACCTGGATTTGGGCACTAGAGCCTTGCTCCCACGAGCCAGCTCAGGGCAGGAGCCTGGGTACAGCCCAGCCCCGTGGGCTGTGCGGGGCAGAGCACATGGCAGCGATGGCCTGGGATATGCTCCCTCCAGCCCCCGCAGAGCCAGTAAAGCCCACAGACGGCTCCCCGACCAAAGGCACAATTGCTACAGGAGCGGGTGCAGGGGGCCAGGAGGCTGGCGACTGTTGCGGCAGCCGGGATCCGTTGGCACTACTCGCACAAAGAGCTGGAAGAGGACAGGAGCGTGGGTCTGTGGCTTGCCAGTTTGCCCACCCTAAACCACCCGCCTGATCAGGGCATCCTGCTCCTGCGCCCCCATGGGCCTGGGCGTTGCAGCAGAGGCTGGGTGGGAAGAGCCAGGGGGGCCACAGCCGCATACAGCATGCATCAGCCGTGGGCACGGCCTGGCTGGCGGGCTTGGGGGACCTGGGGTCTCACCTGGGGTCTCAGCAGGGCCCTTTGCTCCCCGCATCACTCCCTTTCCTCTCCTCCTCGCTCCTTCCGGGCTGTCCCCTTTGCTGGGTCTCCCTTGAGCATCACAGAGGCAGCAGAGACTCCCGAGGCCCCCGTCTCTGTTGGGAAAGCTTCACGGCTGGGAAAGCAATGGGAGTCCCAGCCCTGAAGCCCCATCCTAGCCCATAGCAGAAGGCTGGGCATCCAGAGCGGTGTCACCCCCCATCCACACCCAGCTCAGCCCTTCATCCCACTCTGCAGAGGACCGGTCATGTTCATGCCCTGAAAGCTTGCAAAGAACAATTGTTTTCCAACTATTTAGCTGGTCTACTAAAAGAGATCCCATTCTACCCTGCCGCTCCCCAGGGGATGCACCTTCCCCAGGCCATCAGCAGCCAGCTCCCAGACCTGTCAATGGGAAGGTCGGGGGGCAGGGCCCGGCCGCTGCCCTCTCCCGGGTGCACCAGAACTGGGGGCTGGAGGGGAGGGAAAAGGGGGGAGACTTTTTTGGGTGCCAGAGGAGTTAAAAACAACGAAAAAAAGCAGCGGGTGTTGCTCAAACAACTGTTTCCTCCAGCAAACGGACACAGGAAACAGGTGATGGAGCAGTAAAGAGCCACCGGCGAGGTTGGGAAATCCTATGGTGAACGCAGCAAGGCCCTAGGCTGGACCAGACGCCTGGGGTATTTGGGCAGGTGTGAAAGCACAAAAGGGGCAAATCCTGTGACTCAAACCTGTCCGCGACACCCCCCCAACTCCACACAGCTTCTGCATCTATAAAGGGACAAGCCAAAAAATCCATCCCAAAATTGCTAAGCTCACAGCCCCAGCTGAGCCTGGGTCACAGATTCAACCCCCGGCCCTTGTCTGCCAGGCATACAAGCAAAACCCACTGGGTCCCGAACTCGATGGATCGGAGAGAGGGGACCGACCGCCTGGTTCTCAGCCCCTAACCGGAAGGATCCTTCCAGCACTGGCGTCAGGACAGCAGCCAGGCCCAGCCGGCCTCCTCTCCCCCTCGGGCACCCACGTCCCATCTGCTGCCTCCCCCTCGGCCCACGGCGGCCTGGGCGGCTGCGCACTTCCAAGCGACCCGCGTGCCTGTCACCTTGCGCCGCGGGGCCGTGTCCCTGCACGGGGCATCTCATGGGGCAGCTATTTCTAAATAAGCAAGGAGGCGACTTTGAAGCACAGGAGCTGCCCAGAGGCTTGTCTACAAGGGGAGGTGATCTGGATTAAGATCCCCGACCCCGCAATTTGGCTGTTCTTACTCTGGATTCAAATCCCCCTCCTGCTGCTTCTTGTGGCCATTCAGAGCCAGACACGTCTCAGGGCGGTTGTCCCGTGGGCAGCACACGTGTCCCCCACCTTGACTCACCCCCCCGTCACCCGAAGCCAGAAGCCTCTCTGCACAATTAGGATGACGAGGCCAATTAGCCCACGCTAATTAGCTCAGGGGTGATGTTCCAGGCAGTGGCAGAGCCTGGGGGAGGGTACCACAATTCACCAGGTAGACAAGACAGGGTGTTAGCATGGTGCCCTGATGGCTGGGCCGTGACGCAGTGCCCTCCCCAGACCCCCTCCACATGGATCTGAGCCCCCTGCCCCCCGCCCCGGGCATTGCACAAGCCAACTGAAGGGGAGGGACGGCAGGGGCCCCTTCAGCCCTGCTCCGCCAGGCCTGCGGGGCACGGGGAGATGGGGGTTGTGACCACAGCATTGCAACATGCCTCGCAGGGGTATTTATTGGGGCAGCACGGACCCACCCGCTCAGCTCCGCAGCATGGCAAGCGCCAGCCTGCTCCTCTTGGCTCTGGGCAGCCCAGCCCTGCTCCTGACCCTGACCCTGGCACCGGCAGGTAAAGGGCCATCGGTGCTAGGCAGGGGGCATGGGGGGCAGGAGGATGGGTGGGGTGGTGCTGGGCTGCCACATGCTAGAGCCAGGTGCTCTGCCACCGAGGCTGCAGAGGGACGGGGGAATGTCACTTCGTGTCTCCGAGCGGGGAGGTGGGTCCGGAGCTGGAGCCAGCACCCCCATGCTCTGAGGGGGTCTGGCCTGCACGTGGGGCTGGGAACTGGGTCCTGGCTCCCCCACTCAGAGCTCAGCCACGGGCACCCAGGAAGCAGGGCCAGTGCCCCATGCTGCGAGGGAAACACCCCTCTGCCCCCAAGCAGTGGGCATTGTCCCCTTTCATTACCCCCCCATCTATTACCTAAACCTTTCCTCTTCGTGGCATTGCATCGATGCCTCGCTGTCCACACACAGGCCTGGGAGCCAGGAGTGCCTTCTGCTCAGTCTTTCCCACCCCCCATTCTCCTGCTTGGCTGCTCTCCAAGTCTCAGTCCCCGCTCGGTGCATGCTGGAGCGCATCTCTGGCAGGAGCCAGGATCAGATGCACTAGGACAGCATCCAGCACCATGGCACCGCCCAGGGTTGGGCACTGCTTCTCCTTCCACTAGACCATCTCCAGTGGCAAAAACTCCCCCCCCCCGGATCCCCAAACAGAACAAGACGTGCCACGTCGCTGCAGCCGGGCAGAACCAGTAGCTTGGGGGCAGCTAGAAAGGAGCGGAGCCGGGACGCTTTCCCAGGGGCTGTTGCCTTTCAGGCTTTGGGAGCATCTTCCAGGGAAAAAAAAAAAAAAAAAAATCACAGCAGGGTCTGCCAACAGGTTCTGCTCTCCCAACAGGACAAGAGTCCATCAGCCACGGAGAATTAAGTGAGGGCTCAAGGAAATGGGCTCATGGGGTGACCCATGCTCATGCTTCTGGGCCCAAGCTGGGGTCAGGCAGGGGGAAGGTTGCTCCCGGGCTGTGCTTTGCAGGCCGGCCAGGGGCAAGCGGAGATGCACGGGAGCTCCGGCTGGTTGCTGCAGCTTCCATTTCGCCTGAGTGACATGGTGCCCTCGGGAGCAAAAACTGCGGCAAGGAGCCGTGCAGCTTGATCCCAGCTCGGCTGCAAGCCAAGCGGGGCATGAATGCCCTGGGCTCTGCTTGGAGGATTGATGCTTGTGGTCCCACAGAGCCCAGATGGCAGCCGGATTGGGTCCAGTGCCTGCTGGAGGCAGCAGACGTGCATTCACATGTGTACGGGATGATCTGAACCCGGGGGAAAACCCCCAGCCCTTGGGACCTTGGTATTTGTGAGGGCACCAACACCAGGTTCCCAGGTGCCCAGCTCCGAGCTGCTGG